ACGCTTAATATCGCGATTGTGAGCTTCAATAGGATTCTGGTTGGGAGTAATTCCTGGGGCCTTGCTCGCAGAATAGTACCATAGTTTCCAATCAGCTGCAAGGTATTCTTCCTTAAACCATTGGGCTATATCCAACTCGCCAAGTTCGATCCAATTTTCGATCACTAAAGTGCATAGAGCTTTGAATTGTCCCGGGCATAGAGACTTTTGTAGGCAGTTGACCTGGTTGCGAACATTGACTTCGTTTTTGGTCCTGTCGTTCAGAAGTGCCATTTTTTTTTTTTGGTAAGGTTGGTTCTAAGATGAGGCCAACAGCTTAGCAGAACGATATTTGGCCAGTTCATTTTGAAAGCAGCGGCAATACACTCAGCGTGATCGAGCGTACCAAATTGAGCTTTGAGGCTCCAGCCGAGGAAGTCAACGCACTTGTTTCGAATAACTTTGAAAAGTTCGTCGTAGGATTTAGTCGTCTCCGAACGCACAAATAAGTACGCAATAGGAAAAAATCTGTGAGAATATCCATGGCGAGAGTCATAGATCACACCAACTGTACCGAAAGGAACTAGTGTCCAACCGCCGTGATGTAGACGGTAAGTGCCGTCCACTGAAACAACGATGCCATGATGGCGATGGCCTTTTCGTGCAAATAGTAAATTGCGGAACTGCCCTTGTCTTTTAGCACAGAGCTACGGTTTCGAAGCTGTTCTGCTTCAGGAAGCAACTTTTTAAGATCGGGTTGATTGACATAGCGTTCTCTGAGCAGTACTAGGCATCTTGCGGGTGTAGCTCCACCTAACAATAAATTGTCGCACTCCACTTTAAATCTTTTGTCAATGCATATTACGTAACAATGACTGAACGGTACGTCACTATTAAACACACGTCAATACGTTTTGTCATGATAACGTGCCATTGCGCACATAATTTAAACACTGATTGTATCACACGCGGAGAATCAATGCATCACGCTAAAAACCACACGTGGAAACCCACACGCGGAAATCCACATAAACGACACGCGGATAACCACACCACACGCGCAAAACCAAGGTCGACTTGAACACACGCGGAAAACCGCGAAAACGCACGCGGAAAAAAGTCCCGGCCTTAAAGCTTTCTCGACATATCAACAGAGTCCGTGCGAGTAAGGAAATGCTACATATAATATCATCACGGGCCAAAGGATCGTCCATACTAGGAAGTTCCTTCAGTTGGAACTGCTTGCCAGCAAGTTGTTGTCATGAGTCACAAGCGCCTCCGATAACTGTAAACAAGAGTCGAGGCGTATGCTTGAAAGTGGCGCAAGGGACGAACGCTTGAAATGAATCTTATCTGCACACATGTAGATTACCATTGTAGAGCCGCTGCGTGGATCTCACACAGTGTGAGATTCTGCTGACTTGCCTCTGGTTATTGCGTGTGGTATGGTATGAGCACGACGTGCTGCACGAGTATGAACGCATATCCAGGACATTGTCCTTGACCTCAATGAGGACTTCTCATCGACGGCAAACGTCTATGTATGTAGAATCAGGCCAGGGCCTTGCAGTCCACTTGGACTACAAGGGTGGACCGGGGAAAAGTGTCCTGAATCTGTCCAGATTCGGGACAGACTCAGATTCTGGACTACTGATTGTACAGTAGAATTTGTACTGGTTCTGGTCAACAACAGCCAAAAATACTCCTTCTCAAATCCTTTTTTTTAGTGTCTATGTCCCCTATTAAAGAGACTCTAATAGAGAGTCTCTATTATAGAGTCTCTATGATAGAGGCTCTATAAAATGGGGGGATCTATTATATTTGGCAGCATGTAGTGGACGGACCAGAATCTTTTAACTTTTCAAAATAACGTTGGATGGACCCGACTTTTTAATTTTCAAAATAACGGTTTTTTTTTTATCAATCGG